CTCTCACACTATGACGTTTTAGACAACTTATGAAATGTTTTTTTTTACTAATGACTAATAAAAGTTAGATATTTCAAGGATTCAAGGAGAGATTATTGTCATTCACATCACATGTGGTGGAATAAAATTTGTATTCTCACGGTCCAGTTACACCCTTAAGCAATTGAAATACAGTAAAATGGATAAAAAAAATAAAAACATAAACATACAAATATACAAAATATAGGAGATATGGGGGATAAGGAAGTTTGGAGTAGCAGCAGATTATAGCAAATGTAATTGTCCTAGCAGCAGATTATTGCATATGTGATTGTCTTCGTAAAGTGTTAGTGCAGATTGGTGTTTAAAAGTCTTATGGTWCATTCRCACYGAACGCTTTTTGAGCTGCAGGAGCAGCCAGTTTACATGCAAAGTCTATGGTGGACGCGCCTGTAGGGGTCTTGCAGCACATCAGGTCTGTTTATCGTGGCGCGCAAGGAAGCGGAAGGTGCGGCAGAGCATTTTCCATGCATGTGGTGCGGCGAAAGCAGCCGACGCCCAAGTTCAAAAATCTGATCTTTCGCCACTCGACGCATCTTGACAACCAATCAGAGAGACAAATTTTTCCACTTGACAGTTTCCTTAATGTTTCCCACAAACAGACGGACAGGAGCTCTTTAGCTGAAATTGACCATCTGTAGTTGATGTTCTGGCTGGAGACATCAACACCGATGTGGGTCAGGAGCTCGTTAAACTGACCGTGGTGTTAAACTGGGCTCAGGACAAAAAATAGTTCATCAGTTCGCAGCTCCTGGAGTGGTGAAAGTAAACCGAACAAACGACCTCGAAATCATCAGGTGAATTAATTATCTGGTGTGCGCAACGTTCACTTGCTCTTTAGTAAATAAAGCAAAGCCATTTTCTTTATTTTATCTTTATTTCATCTGCTGAAGACAGACTGGAAAAAACCAAGATGCTCCTCCCTCTTCAGACACACGTCTAGTCTCTGTCCCGATCTGAACGTAGCGCGATCAGCTTGAGGCGTTGGGCGCTTTTTTGCTGCTCAAAACGTGTTAGGTGTGAATGTAGCATTACAGCTTCAGGGATGAAGCTGTTTCACAGCCTTGTGGTTCTGCACTTGATGCCCCGCAGCCTCCTGCCTGAGAGAAGTGGGGCAAAAAGTGTGTGCTGGTGGGGTCCTTCCTGATGCAGGTGGCCCTTTTCCTACATCTGGAGATGTATATATTTGTGATGCTGGGGATGCTGGCTCCAACAATCCTCTCTGCTGTCTTCACTACCCTCTGCAGAGCTTTCCTGTCTGCAGCAGAGCAGCTTCCATGTCTTGATGCTGGAGCACACRACACTCTCCACCACACATCTGTAGAAGGACGTGAGGACAGAGCTCCCGAGTCCAGCACGTCTCAGCCTCCTGGGGAAGTAGAGCTGCTGATGTGCCTTCCTGACCAGGGTGGAAGTGTTGGTGCTCCAGGTGAGGTTGCTACTCAGGTGCACTCCCAGGTACCTGTAGCTGTTCACCACTTCCACTGCAGATCCTCCAATGTGCACAGGGAGGTGGGCCTGCTGGCCCCTTCTGAAGTCCACAATCATCTCCTTCATCCTTTTAACATTGATGCAGAGGTTGTTCTCTTTGCACCAACCCTCCAGGTGTTCCACCTCCTGCCTGTAGTTGGACTCATTGTTTGTGATGCATCCAACCACTGCTGTGTCATCCACAATCTTCACAATATGACAGCCTGGATGGATGTCATATTGTATCAATCAGTTTGTTAGCATTACAGTGTGTACGCCTAAAAGAAGCTTCCAGTTGATTTTTTTTTTAAATTCCATCTTCAATGTAATGTAGATGTCTCTGAACTTTTCACAAGTTGGCATAAGTTGTTTAAAATGTCCTAGTGTGACAGGGCCTTAAGATTTAAATCTATTAAAACAGAAAATAAAATTATGATGACATCTATTGCCACATTTCTCAGCCTTATTCCTAAAAGCAGTAAAGAAACCATAATTATCCATATTTTACGAGTTGACATTATTTCCTGGAGTCTTAATAAAATATCTTGGACATGCTTTGGTCTCAGTATAATTTATACCAATATGCATGCTGACACAAAACACTCTTGAGTGATAGTAATGGCATGCCAGGTACTGTGGAAAAAAACGCTGTCCTTTTAATCATCCTTCAATTGGACTTGATTGTACTGATGCTCAAGATGTAGCAAATGGCAGGTTGATGGATCAATTGCTGTGGCAATTTTCATCCAAAGCTGTTCAAAGTGGCTATTACGAATCAATAGCTTTTAATGACTGATGGGGTGAAGCGGTGCTGTGTCATCCAGGTTGTAACAGAATCTGACATGTTTGATTCTAGATAGATAAGCAGTTTGCATTTTTACAGGAGAAAGTCACTCTCCTGTGAACTCAAATGTTGCAGTTAGTCTGGTTTATGCATGTGTCAGTACATGTGAGTCCCTGACATGCAGTCAGAAACAGACCAACTTAAATGTTTATCTTCACAAAAAAGCAGCACTTTTTATTTGAAGTGCTTCCTACAGAGATAAATTGTGCCTTCAATCTTGCTTTGCTTTGGATTTTCAGAGACTGAGGAAAAAAGGACAAAGTTTGGTTAGAATAATTTTGTGTGTGTTTCAGTGTGACTTTTCTCTCCACCCAAACTACTTAAGCTGGACCTTCAGGAGAATAAAAAAAGCAAAGCTCTCAGTGATAAACGGATCTTAAGAGAATTTCTATAAAGTCATATTGCTGTTCCTTCCTTACCTTGTGCTATCTAAGGGTGTATTCAGACCAGGAAAGTCCTTTGGTCCAATTGTTTGGTCCAGACCAAAAATGGACTTTTTTTTTCATTTGGTGCAGTTTGCATTCACATTGTGCTTTTTTGCACATGAACTATAACTTGTAATCAAAGCCACGAGTGTGACGATCGTTGCTCCCATTGAACAAAAAAAGGACGGGGGCGGGACTGAGCCACAGATCCAGAAAAAAACAAGGAAGTCCTGCATGCTGTGGTTCTGATGCGCACATTTTTGCTGATATTACAACTGCAATAGCATTTAAAATGTCAGAAGCAGCTAATTTAATGGTGGTTCCGTGATTATATTCTGATTTTGGAGTGGCGTCAGTAAATGTGTCCCGCAACCCAAAGGAGACGAGGTGCGCTGCGTGTTCTGACCCAAAACATGCCGGCAGTAGAGCTGCTAACAGGAGACGATGAAACAGGTATGATTTCAGTTTATTTAGCTCTGCAACGGTGGCCTGTGAAGTCCAAAAAGGTGCATGTTTAATGCAGATGGTTCGGTTAGAGTCCGTTCTGTATTCACACCAGAAGAGAACTAAAGTGAACCGAGACCACCTCAAAAAGGCAGGTCTCGGTCCGGTTGTTTGATCCGCACCAGAGTTCGCATGAGTGTATTCACACCTGCACAAAAGGTCCGGACCAACGCTGGAAACGAACTCTGGTTCGTTTAAAGCGGAGCAAATTATCAGGTCTGAATACGACCTAAGATTAGTACTGAATTTACGTAAATAGAAGAGGATTTCTTGTCTATGACAGGATTTCGTGTGTTAAGTTGTTATGTGTTGTCAATCAAGCCCTATATTTTTACTGTAGATATAGTCAGTGATTGTTAAAATAAAACAATGTACACTATTGTTTTTTGGAGGAATTGATTGGCATATCCTGATCATTACCTGGCACAAACACACTTTACAACATACATCTGGAAAGTGAACAAATAAGCTTATAATGCTCGTTAACTGCTGACACTGGTGCTGCTGGTGTGTTTTGCAGTCTGAGTGTGCAATGTACCTTTTTATTTGACAACATTTCTGCTTGCTACAGTACTCTCATAAACCTCTCCAGAAAAAAAAAGGCAAAACTGCCTCAAGCTGCGGGTGTAGTTCCTCTCACAGTTCTCTGCCATTCATGTTATAAGCCCTGCTTTTGATTTTCATCAACCTTTTTTTTCTCAGATGAACATAATGATGTAAGGCCTTAGAGAATGGAAAAAAAAATCTTATCTTTGAGGTTCCAACAGTTAAAGTAGGATTACATTGTAACTTTGTTTTACCAATCCYTTATGTGTAATATTTCAAGTTTTGGCAATGGCTTTCTTTTCTCAGCCTTGCGGTGAGAAAAGATTTATTATTCCTATTTATCCTATTTATTATTGTTTAATTTTTATTTTTTGCAAATGTCAGATATGTGTACTGTAGGTCCTTTTTTCACTTAAGTTTAAATAYAGATCAATGAAACATTAACATGCATTTTTATATGATGAAGTCAAATTCTTATTGCACATCTAAACCATTTTGTTTGTATTCTCATCAGCAGACACGTTGTTGGCATAAATTCATGTTCTCTGTCACAATTAGCTTAATTTGCAAAGCAGAAACAAAGAAGTCCTRTCTAAAAGCAATGATTTAAAGTGCCTAATCCAACAGCAGCTGACTTGGGACATAATGTCCTATGAGGTTTCTTCTAAAGAAATGTTTCTTTTTTTAAGGCAAGAGGGGGGTTGTTATGCACCACTAGAGAAGGTAACAACAGCATGCCATAAGAAATTGATACAACACAAAAGAAACTGCCTCCAAGAAATGTTCCCTCTGGCTCTTTATGTTGAGGAAATGGCCTTTTTCAGAACACCACTGGGCAAAACGTTTCAAGAATTATTTTACCTCGCTATTGTTGAAGCCAGCAAACCTGTCAAGCTGGGCCATATTTATTTTTTCCCCTTTTTTTGGTAGCCTAAATCACATGGCACATAGGGAAAATTAGAATGCAATTTTACAAAAAAAAAATTATGCTCTACATCATTTTTGTAAATCATACATTGCTAACAGCCACTCTTATCACTTGAGAAAAACAAATGCAGTATAATCAAACTGTAGTTATTGTATTTTATCTGTTGATGAAAGTGYAACACTAATAAGCAATTACAGTGCCAATCACGAGGGCCTCAATTATCATTGGTTGATTGCCAAGGAGAAAGACTTTTTTTTCGGTACACTTTGACAGATCATTAAAGTCTTAAAATATGCAAACGAACAAACAACAAGAAAACTACATTTTTCTTGGTAAAGTTTATTGGTGAGCTCTTTTTATTGATATTCATCAGCAATATTTTGAACTGTGAAGAGAGGTCCATTTGTTGCTGTCTGGCTTTTTTCTCATACTAGTTCATACTAGTCTCATACTCATTGTTGTAAAAATTCMGACATTTTATGCAAGAGACAACCTGTCAACACATACAGGAAATTCTCTCCAGTGAAAACAGCCCAGTTGAACTTGGAGTTCACGTATAAGAAAAAAAAACTTTTAATCTGGTTCTGATAAGTGGTTTGGTGAGTGATGTTTCAAGGTGGTTTTATATTTGTATTTCTCTACTACATATCTACTCAGAATGAATATTAACTGGGGTTAGATTTGCTCTTCCCACAGACTTCAACATCAAAACAATGTTGTCAAAAGAAAGATCTTGAAATAATTTTCCCAAAAAGAATGAGCCAGAAGCCCCTCATTTCTTTAAATAAAAGCTCATTATTTCTGTCTTCTTAGTCTTGATATTCTGTAATACTACAGATGTCACTATATCTGAACTTTTCTCCAGAGATAGCATTCATTGGGTTAATACTTAGATGACTGCAGCTCAGGGGAAAAGACTAGGTCCCCTGTGAACATTGRTGGAATATCTGAGTTTAGTATCCTTGTGACAATACTACTGTGGGAATGATAATACCAGAAAATTCTGAAAGGAAAGAAGAAAAGGCAGAGACTATTCTTTGAGCAATTAATTCATTATTTTCTGTCCATTCATTCTGTTTAGAACCTCCGGATATTGGACCATATCTCAGTATGTGCTGAATGAGAGACTCAGTGTAGGCCCGGCAGGCATGTACATCCAGAAAAAAACAAAACAAACAAAAAAAACAAACAAACAAAAAAACCTGTTACTTTATTTTGAACACATTTCATTTTTATTTTTAAAGTACTCAAAGTAAAGTTGCACGATGTGTTCAAAAAGATTATCACAGTAGTTATTTCTCTTGATACATTTGCTAATGTGTGTTTATGAAAGCGGATTAACTAAATCTTGCAGACTTAATTTTAAGTGTATTTACATCATTATCAAAAGCAACAGAGTGCTTTCATATTTTATGCCACATTCATGTCTTTCTTGCTGCTGTTTGCTGAAAAGACTGCTGTCAAGTTCATTGCAACTTCTTGTGGAAAAATAATCACAAAAATCAAGAACAGCTTTTTGCTTTTGCAAAAACACCAAGTAAAGAAAATGTTTGATTTTACCCATATCTTCATCATATTAAGCTGCTTTTCAGCTTTCATTGAACTATTTTAATACTGGATCCGATAGATGATGGTCGCAGTGTACGTCACACAGTATGTAGCACTGGAATCAAACTTTGCCGTGTCTATCTACATTTTTTCTTATAAGCTTT